GGGGGGGGGGGTCTCATCGGCCTGCCTTCGCCCCTGCTTTTATCTCCAAGATGGGGAGTGCTAGGAGAGCCAGCGGGGTGGAAATGTCATTCCCGGTGGAAGGTCGTGGTTTCCGTTCCCATTGAAGCTCTCGTGCAGAACCTGAGGGCTCAGCCTCTTTGCATAGCTTTGCTGCCCCGTCATTAGCAACACTTTGTCCACCCTGCTCTGCTTTGAACGCGCGGCCACACCACGGAGTCCCCTGCTGGGTAAACTGTGTTCGTTTCCCGGGTAGGGGAGGAGCCTTTGGGTTGATGTCTTCTTTTTTGTCCTGGAGCGAGGGTCTGGGTTCTGGGTTCACCTCCGACGGAGTGGGAGGGGCAGAGGCTGCCTGTTCAATTGATGTTAAACAGACAACATCACCACCGCCTCCCGTTACCATCGGGGCTTGAAAGGGTTGTTTTATGACAAAGCGGTTGAAGCTTAATCAGGCCCCGCGGGCCTTAAGCTCGGCCCAGAAGGGGCAGGGGAGATAGATGGGAGACGGTGTGGGTACTTGGCTTGAGAGCGAGGGGATGGGTTTGAACCCCAAGGAGCTTGGACTGTTTGAGTGCAGGTGTGCGGGAGGAGAGGGCTGTGTCGGTCAGCCTGGAGGCAGCACGCGCAGCGGCCTCCCTGGGGCCTGTGCCGGGATTGGCTCTGTGCACAGGGACGGGCCACCTGCTCAGAACCTCCCTGGAGCGAGGGCGCAGTCTCATGACTGCTCTGAGGGACCTGCGGGATGGGGTTCAGTCTCCCCAGGAAATTGCCCCAAGGAGGAGGTCCAGAAGCTTGTAGGCGGAGGTGGGATGTGACCGTGGACCCTGATCGCGTGACTCGGGGAGGTTGGACCGACCCGGACACATTTCCTCATAGCAGGACTTCTCAGAGGTCACAGTGCTGTTCTCAGTCTTCCGAGGCTTCTGTCACCCCTGGGCGACCCTGAGCTGCGGCCACACATACCCGCCTGCTCATGCACAACCTCGTGTCTGCTCTTCCCTCTTCCTGAAATGCTGTTCCTTCTGAGTATGCGTGGCAAGAGGGCTGGGGGGACGGAAACGACAGCCCTCTGTGATCCCGGCCTCCAGAAACACCCCGGAGCACATCCTGTGTCCCCTTCCAGCATCGCCTCCCTGTGTGTGCGCCCCGAAATTGTGTGGACAGAACGTGATTGGGCTTAGACTGTTTACTGTTTCATATCTTAATTTCTCTCATAATTTTTATATCATAAGCATCGTTCTGTGTCATTACACGTTCTTTGCAAACATCATTTTTTTAATTATTTTTCTTTAATTTTTTTTTAATGTTTATTTATTTTTGAAGGAGAGAGAGACAGAGCGTGAGCGGGGGAGGGGCAGAGAGCGAGGGAGACACAGAGTTGGAAGCAGGATCCAGGCCCTGAGCGGTCAGCACAGAGCCCGATGCGGGGCTCGAACCCACAAGCTGTGAGATCATGACCTGAGCTGAAGTCGGAGGCTTAACTGACTGAGCCACCCAGGCGCCCCAGCAAACATTATTTTTAATGAGCACGTATCATCCCAGCCTGTGGTAGCACTGTTCCTAGGGTCCTATTTATCAGTACTTAGTAGTTTGTGTCTCCCTTTTTTTTTTTTTTAATTTTTCGATGTTGGGTATAACTCTGAACTTGTCTTGTTGCAGTAGATGAGGCATGCTCAATATATGTGGCTCCCTGAAGTTCTGTGTATTGGGAATTTTAATTGAACGTAACATCTCTTAGGTTCGTGGGATATTTAGAGGGTTCTAACTTTTGCTCCCATTCTGTATTCTGTCATTTTTCCAGAAGTTTTGAGTCGTGTTTCAGTTTGAGAACTCGGCTGTGTCTTGTTTTGAGGTTTGTGGTTCAGTGAAACAGCTCACGCAACAGTTTATTTTGAAGTTTAGATTGACACGGCTTAGTCCAAGGCTCAGGCTTCTGGTCTGTGTCTCATAGTCCTTTTTTTTTAAATTTGTATTTAAGTGTATCTATTTTGAAAGAGAGAGAGAGAGCGCAAACGGGGAAAGGGCAGAGGGAGGGAGAGCAAGCATCCCAAGCAGGCTCCACACTGCCAGCGCAGAGCAGAGCCCGACGCGGGGCTCGAACTCATGAACTATGTGATCGTGACCTGAGCTGAAGTCAAGAGTCAGACGCACAACTGGCCGAGCCATCCCAGTGCCCCGCCAGAGGCAGGATGCAGGACAGCCTCACCCCTTCCCCATCTTCCCCCAGCCCCCTAAGAGTTGCTGGAGCCCAGCGCAAGCTAGGAATCGGGGCCCCTTCCTGATGCCGCCCAGAGGCAGAACCCCTCTGATCTAGCACATTCCGTGCTTTCGGCCCCGGGGCTTAGACATTTAAGGGATTTCACATTTAACGAATTTGTGTTTTTTGCGGGGGGCGCGGGGACCCAGTGCCAGACAACGAGACCCCGGAAGGTGAAAAGCCAACAGAGAGAGGAGCTGAGGACGCTCCAGTGAAAGAGGAAGAAGAGGAGGAAGAGGAGGAGGAGGAGGAGGAGAGCACCCCCGGGTGTACCCTGTTTATTAAAAATCTCAACTTTGCCACGACCGAGGAGACCCTGAAGGAAGTGAGTGATGGCTACAAACGGGGTGGGGGTCGTGGGCCCGGGAGGCCGTCCGCCGACATGGCGCCCAGGTTGATTCCGCCTGTGCGCGTGGCTCGTGCTGGTACGGAGTTGGACAACCAGCAGCCGGCCACTTGACGTGCCTGTGGGGCTGTCCCGTGGACCCCTCACCAGGGGACCTGAGCAGTGGCCAGACCAGCCGAGGGGCCGGGAGGGACACCCCCCTACACGGAAGGGGGTGTCATCAGTGCTAGCATTGTGCGTGCAGCAAACAGAGACTCCCGCCCCAGTTTTCTCTGGGGGGCTAACTACCCAAAGGCAAACGTTAGCACCACCTCCTTGCCTGACGGGAGCATGCGGGAGACACAGGAATGAATGAGGGACAGTCCTGCCCGGAACCCCTGGTTGGGGTGTGGGTTGTGCGTTCTTGGGAGGGAGGCAGAGGGTGAAAAGATGGGCATCTCCAAGCAGGTGTTTGGGAAACACCAAGCGGGTCCTGCCCTGAATGGGGTTGGGGGGCCTTCGGAAGGAATTGGCCAGAGACAAGCAAGTGGGGCCTCCAGTTCCAAAAGGTTGGGGTCTGCAAGCTCCCCCCACGGGTCTGAGAACCGCTTACGGGAAGACTCTCTGGTTCTGTGACCTGGGTTTGGCACATTTTTTTTTTTTAACTGCATAAATCAGTGATGATCAGCAGTGACTATGATTGATTCCGGGAAAAAAAAAAAAAAAAAAAAAAAAAAAAAAAAAAAGGTGACCATAAGGATCGAACTGACTGACTTCTAAAAGTTCTTTTGAGTTCCGAGATTCCACAGATAGATTCAAGAGGTTTCCACTGAGTCCCAGAGGCGGGAAGTTGGCTGCTGGATGGGAAGGAGGCCAGCCTGCATCTGGAGGGAGAAACTGGGAGAAACTGGAAGACTGGGAAACTCGTCTCCTCTCTGGGGGAGACGAGGTCAGAGCCTCCTCTCCGAGGCCATCTGGCCAAGGCTCTGTGATGTGGCCATCCTCTTGCCAGGCAGAAGGGTGGCCACGGCAGAGGGCCCCGGGCTAACACAGCAGCCTCTCCAGGGCAAAGATTGACCAGACCGAGCAACTAGAAACCCAGCCTTGGGCTTTGCACTGGCCGCTCCTGAACCTGTTGTGGTTCGGTGTGAGCTTGCTTTTGTGAAGAGGCACGCACCAGCCGTGACGCTCGCTGAGAATAGGGCAGTGCGGCTTGCGGTCTGTGTTTTGTGCCTGGTCTGCTGGCTCTCCCGGGTCCGGGACAGGACTGTCATCAGGAATCGATTTTCCCCAGAAGATGCACCCAAGCTTCAGACTTAGGCGCGTCCTCAAGAAGTGAGGACTTCTGGAACGGGGAGTCCCGGCCAAGGCGATGCAGTCCAGGTTCCTCCTGGATAGATGTGAGGACTGGGCTCCAGCCGGTTCACAGTCCCAGGGCCACCAGCCCATTGGAGGTGCTGTCAGAAACAGTATGCAGCCCGCGGGGCTCCCCTCGTGTTGCCCCGAGTTACGGGTCAGAACGCCTGGACGTGGATCCCGGTGTTAACGGCGCAACCCTGGCGAGCCCTTTGGGCTATCTGTGCCTCAGTTTCCCTATCTGTAAAATGGAGATGTCGGGAGAATCTTCCCGCGGAGTTGTTTTAGAGATCTGCTTGGGACAAGCGAGATCATCCGAGTGCCTGACGCTTGGATTAAGAGAGTCTGTAAATGTCTGCCCCTTAAGCACAAGCCGGGCAGGAATCACAGCCCTCTTGGGGCCCGTGGTCACATACATGGCCTCCGTCTTTCGAGACGTGCCTGCACTGGTTGCAGGATTAGCCTGGACGTGCTGCTGATACATGTTGGCGTTCCTTTCCAGGTGTTTTCCAGAGTGGGAATGGTGAAGAGCTGCTCTGTTTCCAAGAAGAAGAACAAAACAGGTATTCTTTACGAAACCGCATCCGGAAAGGATGATTCCAGAAGAACCCGGCGCTTTGGGTGGAGGGGCAGGGATACCGCCCACTCTTCTGGTCCGAAGTGTTGCCCCCCTCAGACTCCCAGCGTCCCGCCTAAAATGGGCCCTCCTTCCCTGTCCCGGGAGACTCTAGCGTCCCGTGGGGGCAGCCGTGCCCATCAGGCTCTTTGCCTCCTTGGACTGGCCCGTGGTCTCACGGCATTTGATGGGCCACCAGGGTTGCCACTGTCCAGTAGCGGAAGCCTCTCCCTCCTCCCAGGACCTCTGGGCTCCGGAAGTTTTGTAGAGAATAGCAGGAAGGAGACCAGGCTTAGGCTTTCCCTCTTTGCTTCCAGAAGAAACAACCCAGACGTAGAACCTGTGGACCATTGACCACGCTCCCCCCCCCGGCCTGTGGGTGTCTGTGCCTTGCAGACAACCCTCATCTCCCCGTTACGCCTCAGCTGTTGGCTCGGGCCCTTGCTCCCCGCTTCTCCCTTCTCCAGCACCGGCTTCCTGCGCGTGACAGACAGGCCACACGTCCTTCCTTTTGCCCAGCCATTCAGTCCCCTCCCTTCCGTCGGGCAAGATTTACAGGGACGCCACCTGAGTCAGTCAGAGCCGTGACCTGAGACACAGATGAGCCAGTGGGGCACAGCGCAGGGTGACGAGGGGCCGGGTCCCGGCACTGGCGTCCGCACGTCAGCGTGAGGCTGGCGGGTGGGGATGGCGGTGGCCAGCCGGAGCAGGCGCACAGAGGAAGGAGGCCGGAGGGGCTGCTGCTACAGGGCACTGTCCCTGTGTGTCTTTAGGGAGACACAGGAGATGCCCTTAGAAAGGCAGGCCAGCCCCGGGTCGCAGGATGGCTCTTGGGCCCTGCAGAGGCGTCTGGGCTTTTCCCCAGAAGGGGAAAAAGAAGAGGCTTGCCGGGGCAAGCCTCGGCAGGAAGGTTTGAAGCAGACACATGGCACAGACGTTCGGGAGGTGCTTGTGTTCGCCTGCTGTCACGGAGCGCCACAAACGAGGGGGCTGCAGCGACACGAGTTTGCCGTCCCACAGTTCTGGAGGCCAGAAGTCCAAGGTCGAGGTTTCAGCGGAGTGGTTCCTCGTGAGGGAAGAGCCTACTGCGCCCTTCCCCCACGGCTTGTAGGTGGTGGTCTTCATGCTCACGGGGGGCTCCCTTTGCCCGAACCTGTCCTGTGTCCAGATGCCTCCCCTTTTGAAAGGGTACCAGTCATGCTGGGTGCCCTCACGCCCGCATTTTTCACTTGATCGTCTCCGTAAAAGAGCCTTTCTCCAAATAAGGTCGCATTCTGAGATGCCGGGGCTTAGGCTTTCGACACAGGAATTGAGAGGGGGACCCAGTTCAGACCGTAACAACCTCTTCCCCAGGGGCCGCAGGGCTAGTCTGGGACGTAAGAAAGGCAGCTAAGCACCAAGTAAGTGATACGAAGGCTCGGTTTGCCCCGGCTTCGGGAAAGGAGGCGACCCCTGACTTCCAGGCTGGGAGCGGGGCCAGGAGAGCTGCCCCCCGCTGTGCCCGTGGGTCACGGTGTCGCCGTGCCACTCTCCGCGGTCAGCCACGGTGGAGCCCGCCTCCACGTTCGCCCCTCAGGAGCACTGTGGAGCGTATGTTGGAAATAGTTACCTGATCCGTCCGTGTTGCGGGCACCTCTCACGACCTGCACTTAAGAGCCCGTGTTGGAGAGCCCTGCTCGACGGGGCTCATCCATCCATCACCGCGTGAGGGAACTCGGCCGCCTGTGTGCCAGGGAGGGGGCCGCAGGAGGCCGTGGAAAGCACCCTCAGCAGGTTGTCGAGGAGACATTTGTAAGGACGGGGCCAGATGCGATGGTGAGGGCTGAGCAGAAGGGACCCACGGGGGATGTTGAGGCAGAGGGGAGCATCAAGCAGAAGAACCCCGTGAGCCCCAAGGGCCGCGGGGAGGGAATGGCGTCACCCGTCACGGAAGCCGCCAGCACGGCCAGAACCACGCCGAGGCGGGGAGGGTGGGGGGTGCGTGGGAGGAAGCCGGACCCCCAACTTTTTCTTCTCCACCTGCCAGTCTCAGATCGGGGCTTCCCATTGGCTACACCCCACAGGAAACCAGAAGGTCAGGGAGCCCAGGTGGTGCAGCCTGTGGAGGTCAGGCTCCCAGGGTAGGAGCCGGGCAGAGAGTGGGTCCGCTCAGCGTCAGGGATCGGGTGACAGACTTGACTGTTTGTAGTTGCCTTTCACATGCTCCTCCGTGCCCTCCAAATATCCCGTGTGCACAGACCCCCACAGACCACCCTCGGCCTGGAGTCTCCCAGGAAGAGCTTTCCGGTGTCTGAGGTTGTCACAGGGTGGCCCTGGCTGGCAGCCAACAGCCCACTCGGGCAGAGACTCCCTTCTGTGGCCCACAGAGCCATGTTTGGACAACGCACGGGGTTTCCTGCTGCACGGGGGCCCCATTTGATAGCACGTGGCTGTGAATGGAAACACGGGCAAGCAGTGCCCCGGGAGGGGCTCGGGTCTCACAAACCGCACGGTAGATGCGAAGAAGGGACTGTTGTGTGGGTCAAAGGTGACGAGTCTCGATCCTCATTTGGACCCGTCAAATTCGAGCCAGTCCTCTGAGCTCCACTGTGAAAAAATGAATATACCTGCATGACATGCAGGGGAGGAGGCACGTGTTCCATTCTGTGACATAGGGCAGGATGTAATTAGACACACGCCCTGTAAAATCTCTCCCCTCCGCCGTCCACATGATACATAGGTACGTAACGCGCACGCATCTAAAGTCAGGAAGCAAACGTCCCCGATGCTTTTGAGCTCTCCCTCGCTCTCTGAACCCTTGCGCCTCACTACCTAAAAGTGGGGGACCAGATAGGTTCAAAGAATTCAGCCGCTCTCCCTGTCCGAACTTGGTATCTGAAGCCCAGGACCAGCCATCGTTGGATGGTCAGAAACACCCGTAAAGACTTAAGCCTCTGGTGCCTTTGACTTTCATGCATATATCCGTCGCGTGCATTGTGTGTGGAAGCAGGGGACTGCCTAGGTAGGGACTGTGCAGCTTGTCACAGCGATGGTCATCCCTGTTCGTTCCTGCTCCCTCCCAAAGGCGGAATCCTGTTAGGAAGTTAATTATCATGCCAATCATCTCTTAATTAATAGTCAGCTGGGCCTCAGGTGACGGCTATATAACTTCGTTGGCTGATTCTTCAAGATGACTGGTAATAAACAGGACACCAGGAGCTAAAATCTTTTTGGGAACGAAATGGGGTATGAGGAAGGGAGCAAAGAGGGGACGTCTAGGGGTCCGCCGTAGCCCCTGCCCTTGGGTTCGCGCTCTTTCTTCGCCTTTCTGCTCCCCCCACCTCACCTCTCTTTCTGACTCTCCTTTAGGAGAGCTGCTCTCCATGGGATTTGGGTTCGTGGAATACAGGAAGCCGGAGCAGGCCCAGAAAGCTCTCAAGCAGCTCCAGGTAAGGGTGGGGATTTCAGCTGAGATCCATGGAGGTGCTTGGTAGGTGGTGGGGGGGTCCGGGGGCAGGGAGGGTGGAGGGCGGGGGTCCGGCCTGTCAACACTCCTGAAGTTAGCGGGAATGTGGGTAAGTCCACATTTTCTTGGGTCCCTCGCTTCCTCCAGTTCTCCAGGGCACTGTGGCCCAAGAAAAATTAAGAATCTTCTTCAGCGCTCTGTAGTCATGGTAGTGCGTTCACGAATCCACAGCTCTGTGCCAGATCTGGGGGAGGCTGGCAGAGCGGATCTCTGAATAAATACGCAAGACCAGGTCACGAGAAGTGCTTGGATGGAAATAAAGCAGGCATCGTGATGGGCAGAGAGGGTTACTTTACATCGTGTGAGGGAGGCCTCTCTGAGGATGTGACCATTGAGCTGATCGCTAATTGACAAGAAGGAGTCAGCTACACAAAGATCTAGAGGGGAAGCAGTCTAGGAGGAATACACAGCATGTGCAAAGGGTCTGAGGCAGGGACTCTGAGGTAGGTATGAGCTTAGTATGTTTGAGAGGCAGAAAGAGGCCATTGCGGCTGGAGTGGACCGTGTGTGGGCCCAGATCTTGTCAGCTTTTTAAGGACCGTGGAGTCCGGTGTAAAGGCAGTGAGATTCTGTCAGAAGGCTTGGAGCACTTTGGGGAAGGGACTGGTTTACGCTTCTGGACGGTCTCTCCCGCTGCTGTGCAGAGAGTGGATGACAGCGGGGCAGGTGAGAAACCACGGAGTCGTCCAGGCAGGAAAGGGTGTTGGCCTGGGTCGGGCAGAGGCAGGGAAGATGAGGACAAGGGGACTAGGCTCTGAGGTGTTAGGACAGGGACTCCACACAGAACGGGACCTCCTGCTGGGCCCGAAGTGCAGGATCAGATCAGGCGCCTGGAGCAGGAGGGGGCTGTGGGCTCCTCCCCCGGGAGGCAGGCCTCTGCCCGAGACCGCGTCCTCCGCACTCTTCCCCGATGCCGCACATCCCAGGCCCTTTGGTGGCTTTGCGGGCAGGGAGCAGTGCCCTCCCTTCTTTCTGCGGACCCACTCGTTCCCTGCCGTCTTTGCTGACCCCTCGTTCTGCAGGCCGAGCGCTCCTGACCGTGCCTGCAGGTCAGGCTTCTAGACCCAAGTCCCTGGAAGAGCTTCAGGGGGTCCAGGGACCCTTTTAAGCCATATTCTGGATGTCCTGTGTCTGTGCGCACCGGACAAAGAGGGCCTGGCCTGAGGCCAGGTGGCGTGAAGGTGAAGGAGAGCTGAATCGGGCCACGTGCACGGGAGCCTGCTCACCTTACCCGGCTCTCGCTCTCTCTCTCTGGCAGGTGCCCCTGGGCCAGGCACGGCTGGGCTGTTCTCAGGGTGGGAAGGGCGCCCACAGGGGGCCCCCGCCCTGTCCCAGCAGAACTTCTGGCACAGGAGGGAGGCCCTGGGGGGTATAGGAAATGTAACCGGGCGCTTAGTTCATCTGATGGTTTTTGTAGGATTTTGATGACCTTGCCCTTGGCTCAGGGCAGCTTCCCGAAGGGCCGAGTTGGATTTGGGTGGGATGACGGGGAGGTAACGCCTCCGGGGCCTCCGCTCTCTTGGAAAGCTCTGCTGTCTACCAGGGCTGCATATCCAGACACCCTTGGGGGCCGGTGGGCAGCGTGAGGGAGTGAGGGGGCAGCATCACCCAGAGCAAAAGCTGGACACTCGTGCGCTGTCGAGAGGGCGGCCGCTTCTTAGCTTCAGCCAGTTACGCCTCGTGGGGCGCCTCTCTGGCGTTTGATTTGTGTGTTGTTTTTCAAAGAGACACTGGCAGTCCAACTTTGTCATCGGGTGCCGCGTAGGCATTTAGCTGGCATCGGCTCTGCACGTCCAGTGGTCCATTCTCTGCCACGTAATGCAAGATTCTGTCAAACTCCACCTTGCACGTGTTGCGTTCCGTACCTCCCTGTGTGCGTACATGTGTGCACGTTGCCACAAAGAATCGTTTACACAGAACTACCCGTGCTATATCTTATGGGAGACGTAAGGGATTGTCGAGGGTAATTTTGCTAATACTCCAGTTTTGCCTTAAGGGACCCCCGTGAGAGCCTAGCTTTCACTACACCTCCTCTGCGGTTTAGAATTTTTTTTTTTTTAAGCACACAGTCTAGCCTGAACTCTTGCTGCAAGCCGGACCAAAGGGGCTTGCTTTGCCTAAAAATGCTTACAAACGATGGAAAATTCGGTGCCCCTTGATTGGCATAAAGGCCAAGGCCCACGCATGGCTCAAGAGGGCATTGGAAGGCTGGGTCTGTGTGACCACCAGCTGCTGTCTGGGCTCGGCCTGAGCCACTTCTCTGTCCTTGATTCCAGCTGGCCCCGCTGCCTGCGGATAGTCCCCCCTCTGAAGTTTCCTTTCCTCTCCGCTGACGCCCGCTCTGTTGGAGAGCAGCGGGGTGGGCAAGTGTTGCTGGGGAGACAGGGTGACAAGCTGTGTGGTCTTATCTCTTAGGGTCACATCGTGGACGGCCACAAGCTGGAAGTGAGGATCTCGGAACGAGCCACGAAGTGAGTCTTCATTGCCCCCTCTCTGCTCTCCTCCGGTCCTTTCTGCTCTGGGGCTGGTGTATCGTCTTCCTGATTAAGGTGACGTCCCATTTGCCAGCTCCGAGGCCCGTTTCTGAGATGAACTGGGACCACTCCAGTCCTTTGAATAAATATTTAATGCACATTTGTCGTAATATGAGGAGCAGGAGCGGGAGGAACCAGCACATTCTGCTCATCTTGGTGTTATAAATAAACCAACAAAGAATTGCCAGTTGCTGGTGCTCTGGACGAGCCAGAGAAGCGATAAAACCTTGATGTCCAGTTTTATAGGGCTTTCTTTCCTGGAGCTGGACACCGGAGCCCAGAGACAGCCTCCGGTTAATTTGAAAGAGATTCAGTCAGTGTTAAGAGTTGGAGACTGACCAATCTGCCCGGTGACCAGTTTCCTGAAGTAGTGTTTTAGTTTTTGGGTTTTTTAAAAAATATTTTTGGGGGGGCAGAGCACAAGCGGGAGAAGGGCAGAGAAAAGGGGGGACGGAGGCTCTGAAGCAGGCTCTGCGCCGACAGGCTGACAGCACAGAGCCCAAGGTGGGGCTCGAACCCACGCCCCGTGAGATCATGACCTGAGCTGAAGTCGGACACTTAACTGACTGAGCCACCCAGGCGCCCCGTAAGATTTAGTTTTGTGCCTACGCTTCTGCCCGCTTGCATGTGTAAATGAGCCGATAGGCCTGAGGTGCCCCAAACAGTGCCCAGCACGTGACGTGCCCAGCGCGAGTGTTGTTTTTATTGTCATTGTCATGATCGTCTACCAGCCCCGGGCGATGAAGTAACCGCCTCTAACAGTCCTAGGGCTGGTTTAAGATCTCTCTTTGGTAGTTTTCAGCAAGTTGGGCATTTGTTGTGGTCGTTGAGCAGATTGGCTGTTGCTGCCTGGCCTCCAGCTGCTGCTTTTTCTTCCTTCTCTCTGTTTTCAATGCTACTTGGGAATCCAGCCCTCAGCCACCTCTGGTATTGTGCGCCCACCCGGTCTGTGCCGTGGGAGCATCCTCGGGGAGAAGGGCTCCTGAGCTGGGATGGAACAGTGAGCACCAGGCATTGAGCCCCACGGCCTCGGGTTCTAGTCTAGGAGCTGTGTGACCTTGGGTGGCTGACTTTGCCTATGAATTAGTATGTGCTAACTAGAGGTTGTGCATGAAGCCTCTAGGACATGCTTTGCACATGAGTACTCAGCCAACAGTGGCAGTCTGTCTTTTCCGTTCCCCGTCTCGAAGGAGTCAAGCTAAAGTCACCTCATGAGCTTTCAGTCCCTCGCCAGTGTTGATTTAGTCATCCTTTTATTCAACAAACAAATTACGGAAAGCCCACTGTGTACCAGATACTCTGCCCAGGTGCCAGGAATGGGGTTTCCTGGTGGTGTTCACGGTCTAGGGCAGCGTAATTGATAGAACCTTCTACAATAGTGGGATTCTTCGATCATGTTCCACATCTGTGCTGTCCAATATGGCAGCCACTTGCTCATGTGGCATTTGAACACGTAAAGGTGGGGAGTACAGTTGTGTTAGTCATCTGTTGCTGTGTAACAGAGTATCCCAAACAGCTTAAAACAGCAAACACTTATTATTTCACCGTTTCCGAAGTCAGGAACTTGGGAACAGTTTAGCTGGGTACTTTTGTCTCCAGGTCTCTCAGGAGGTTTTGTTGGTCAGGGCTGCAGTCTCATCTGAAGGCTCCTCTGGGGCTAAAGGATCCGCTTCCAAAATGGCGCCCGCACATGGCTGTGGGCAGGAGACCTCAGTTCCTCACCACGCTGGCCTCTCCCTGGGATTGCATGAGGGTCTTTACAGCACCACAGCCCATTTTCCACTGAGCGAGTGATCCAAAGGACAGCAGGAAGGAAGCGGCAGTGTCGTTTATGACCTGGTCTCAGAAGTCACCATTGCTTCGGTCTTCTACTGGTCACGCAGACCTGCCTGATGGAGCACGGGAGGGGACTGCCCAAGGGCGTGAATACCGAGAGGCAGGGATCTCTGGGGACCATCTTGGAGGCTGGCTATCCCAGCAACTGGAGAGTTGAGTTTGGAATTTTGTTGCTTTAACGTAGACTTAACCGGCCGTATGTGGTTTGAGGCTACCATATTGGACAGCACAGTAAAGGGAAACATGAACGATATGTAATACGCGGTCAGGTGGTGGTGAGTGCCAGAAAGGAAAGCAAAACTGGGGGTGGGGGAGGGGGGTGTTGCTGCTTTAATGGGGATACCTAGGGAGGGCCTTCGAGGAGGTGACGTGAAGCACATCTGAGAGAAGTGAGGCAACACGGTCGTCTTTATGACAACAGCTGCCATTTATTGAATGTTTGGCACATGGGGGGCACCACGCAGGGTCTGACAGGCCCTCAAACGGTATGACGAGGCCAGCACTCTTTTTAGGCCCATTCTGCACTTGAGGAGGCTGAGGCCCGGAGAAGCCAAATTACCTGCCCAAGATCACTCAGCTCCTATGCAACCCACTTGGCTTCCACACCCTGATCGTTCACTCCCCACTCACGACCCCGCGTCGCTTTGACGCAGTGGCAGGTTGCCCAGGGCGAGCAGGGGCACAGGTGAAGTGGGAGGGCATTAGAGGTGGCCTTGCGCCCCGGGATGAGCTTCTGCTCCCACCCCTGGCCCGTCTTCAGGGCTAGCAACTGCTCCAGGCCTGTGGGCGAGGCTCTTGGGGCGTGTACTGGAAAGTCTCACGTAAGACCTTTGGGCCATCCGGGGTCTTTCCACATCTGGAAGGAGACAGTAGAGACCGGATGGGGTGAGGAGCTGGCCTCACCCTTCTCAGGGTTCCTCTCGCCAGTCCCTGATAGCCCCCGCGTCTCTCAGACGACGGGCAGGAGAGACCCAAGGGCGGGTGTGCTGACCGGGTGTCCACAGCCATCTTGAGAGGAAGATGGCTATGCTCCGAATCACCCAGGGGAGACCGCCTTCCCCCTTTTCATTTCTGCCTCATCCACCCCAACTCCTTGAATCTCTCACCTGCCAAGAACATCAGCTCTTGGAGGGAGGGTGAGGGGGTTAGCGTAGGCCAGCAGCTGCCCACACCCCAGATAACTCGAACCTTCTCCCCTAATTGTCTAGGCCAGCTCTGACGTCCGCTCGGAAGAAACAAGTGCCCAGAAAGCAGACGACCTCAAAGATCCTGGTGCGCAACATCCCCTTCCAGGCCGACAGCCGGGAGATCCGAGAGCTCTTCAGGTGAGCAGCTCTCCTTCTGTCCACCGGTTGGCATGTGGTGGGGGGGAGCCTGCTGGAGCCTTGGCAGGTGGCCTTCGGGTCCTTGATGGCTCCACCGCAGGCCGGCCCGGTGGTCTTTCAAAGGTCATCTTTTGGCCGCCTTTGATTTATCTCTCTTGAACTCATGCGCCGTGAGCACTATGCAGAGAAAACTCGAAACAGCCAGGCCTCCTCCTCCAGAGGTGAGACAGAAAGAGAGGGCGGCTGGTGTTCTCTGTCCCCACCTGCAGCAGGATGGGGCGGGGGCCCTGGTGGCCGAGGCTCAGCATCTGTCTGAAACTCTTCTGGCCAAGTCATTCCTCTGGGTTTAGCCAGCGGCTCTCCACCCCGGTGGTGTTTTCGAGTCACCCGGTGACTTTCATAAACATACCTTTGCTCAGGCCCTGCCCCCGTGGAGTTGGATTCTGTTGGTCGGGGGTGGGGCCCAGACATTGGTGTTGTGATCAAAGCTCCACTGGGGATTCTACTGTCCACCCAGAGTTGGGCACCACTGTCTACGTTGCTGTCTACGGAGAGAGACTGTTTTGAAATATGGATGAATCCCCTGAATAAATAGTGCAGTCCGGCAACAGATGCCAGCATAGAGTCAGAAACGCTAGGCACTGGGACCTGGAAGGACAGGCGGGGGGCGAGGTACTGACAGCAGGAAGGCCAGTGGTGATGCTGTGCAGGAAGGCAGATTGAATCAGACCAGTTTCCCTATGTTTTGAAAGAAAAACCGGCATTCCAGATTGTTAGGGGGAGTAAGCTGGCAACTAATTTACTTTCTAAAATACAAACAGTGCAGGACAAAGTCTGGCTGTGGCCAGATGGAGCCCAAGGGCCACCACTTTGCAACCCCTGTGCTAACGCGTTACACCGTTCGGCCTTGCAGATTAGTTAGGTACCATCTAGAAGCAAGCCCTGGATCAAACATCTTTACGAACGGGCGTAACAGGAAGACGTTTAAAGCCAAGACCCTCCCCGGGTGTGGGATGCTGGGTGGCCCAGGGAGAGACAGTCTCGCCCTCGGAGTGTAACGGCAGGTGGACCAGATCGCCGGGGGCTCCCGGGCCTGCAGGACCCAGAGAGCTATGTCCCTGTTTGAATTATCAGTTGGCATCTTACTGATTAGATCACCTCACTGAAGTCAACTGTGGATGCAAAATATAAATCCCATATTTGGGGGACTAGACAGAAGTACCTTTGGGTGAATCTACCTCTTCGCCCTCTCACCCGATTTAAAGAGTAGGGAACCATTTACGGGATTTGCTTCAAAACTCCTTCTCACCTCCGCCCTCCTCACCTCCGTTCTAAATTGTATGCTGAACGTGCTGTTCGTTAACAGACGTGGTTTTGCTGGCTCTGGTGCAGACGCCGTTTTCGGACGAGTGGGGTCTTAGCTGTGATCCCAGGTCCCCTGCGTGGCAGTAACAGCCTGGTGAGGTGGGGTCACGACCTGGGGGGACGTTTTCCATTTCCCTGCACCCAGGGAGAGGAGTACGCATCCTCAGCCTCGCACGCCGCTCGTTTTAACGGGCTCCTGCTTGTGAAAGAGAGTCCAATTTAAGACCTGCCAGATCAAAACAGGATTGCCGCAGACAGCACGTGTTGATCAGGAAATAGCATCCCGCCGAAATGACAGTTCCACTTGGTGCCGCAGCCTGTTTGGGGTGACACTTACCCAGGGAAACAAAAGATCCGCTCGGAAAGGGAAGAGCGCTTTGTTTGATCTCTCGTTTTATATTTATTTTGCGGAGACAGGGAATTAGCGTCCACGGAACGTAATTATGCGCGGTGTCTCTTCCCCCTGCCATTGTTCCAATGGTAGCTTTCGCCAGCCCTTGGAAACGGAAAGCCACCGCGGAGGGCTCACCTTGCTTTGTTGTGCTCTGGGGCTGGGGGGGTTGAGGCCGTTCCCGGTGGCGGGCGGCAGGGGGCGCTGTGAGCCTTCTCAGGGGGGACTCTGCTCATCCTGGAAACCACAGACCTGATTTCAGACAAAGCCAGCGGCCGGCAAAGGTCAGAGCCAGGGGAGGATTTCGGGGCTTTAGGGGAACCAGTCTGGTCCATTTTGCAGGCGGGTTTTGCGGGCTTGTCCTGCCGGGTGCGATCAAGAATCCCAGCTCGCTCCGATGGGGCCCTCGCTGTGTGTTGGGCCCCAGCTGCGCGTCTGCCCCGTGCAGCGTCTCCTTTAAGCTGCGTAACCGCCGTGTGGAGGAGGGAGGCTGTTTGTTACCTGTTTTGCACCCAGAAGGATGCTGGAGACCTGGGCAGATAAAGCGTCCTGCTCAGAACCTGCAGCTGAGCCAGGACTGGGATTTCAGCAGTCTGACCCAGAGCCGTGGCTCGGAACCGCTGCTCTCTGCAGCCTGTCGTCCTCCTCCCGGGTCCAGAAGGACACTGCCCCCTAGATCACGGCAGTGGCACCATTGTCCCGCGAATGTGTCGTTCGCACCAGCCCCGGGCCTAGGTGTCGGGCCGGCAGCTGGTTCAGGAGAGACGGGCGCCTCCCCCCGAGGAGTTCACTGGGGAGGACCAGGGAGCAAAGCGACGGCAGCAGTTGGACAGTGATGCTCCTGTGGCACGCGGGAGTGAGCGTAGGGCCGCGGGAAAGCACGGTCATGTTCTCAAGCGCACCTGCTGGGGGGCGGTAGCTTGCCCACTCTCCCCGGCCTCCCGGGGCCCTGCATGTGACCCTGGGGCAGCACCTGCTGCCCCCCCTTCCTGGGGGCCCCCAGCCGTGCAGGGAGTTCCCCCCCACCACCACCCCGCAGCCCCTTGAATCCAGTACCCTGAGGCACTGCGGATCCGGATCCCTATGGGATCATCATCTGGGACGGTTCGCGGCCGGCCCTTCAGAAAAGTCAGAGTGGACACAGCAGTGTCCCCCCTGCCACCTTTTTGGGCCTCCACTTCCCCTGGCACCAGGTGACAGCAGCCCTGCTGATAGCATTTGGGGTAATTTATGACGACGCTACGGCAAGAACATGTTTGTTACCGTGAAGTATAGTTTCCGAGCCTGACCTCTGTGCCAGGCTCTGCATTATTACAGGTCCGTTTCCCACGGAGTGGTGTTGCCTCCGTTTCCCAGGGAGGAAATGGGCTCCCCGGCTCCAGATCCCGCCACTGGGCCATCTGCCAGCCCCACCGGCACCCAGCAGCTCCGGCACCACGTGACCGCCTCGTGGGCTGTTGGAAGGGTTAAATGAGCATCTGCTTATGGAGAGCGTAATACAGGGCCTGGGACGGAGTAGGTGGTTAATAAACATTAGCGCCGGTTGTCAAATAGCACGAAACTGGGGACGCCAGGCTTTGAACCCAGGGCCGGTCTGACTCTCGACAGAGCTGATGTCTTCGATGGCACTGCAGACCCTTGACGGTCCCCTGTGACATTTTCTTACTGGTTCGCCTCCTTTCCCTGAGTCTGCCTTCCTGCCTGGTGATCCTCTCCCCCTCCAGCTGGCCCTGGGCCAGAGAGAGTCAGTACTGGGGGACGGACACTGGCCTCTCTACTCCGTAAGGGACACACGGAAGACAAATGGGGATCCTCCAGACCATGCAAGCATGTGCTGGCACGCAGGGACCAGACTCCTCACCCCACAGCCAGAGCGGGGGTGAACGCGGCCCCCGGCTCACCCTGTGGTGTGCACAGCCTTAAACTAGCATCCGTTCCGGAAGAGGAAGGGTGTAGACTGGCTTCCCTTCCTGTCTGGGTTTGCTCTGGCGGAGGTAGGTGTGTGTGCACGTGTATGTGTGTGGGCAAAGCCTGGATTTGAAGGTCCCTGGGACAGAGGGTGGTTCTGAGAACAGCCCCACAGATAGGGCCTAAGTCTGAACCCCAATTGAAGCAGGTGCTCAGGGCCCCCCCGCCTTAGGCGTAAGTGCATATGCGGAGCCAAGGGATTTGACGGACGGGTCGTGTTCCCACCCGAGTTTCAAGCGATGGCCCCGAGTTAGCACCACCCTGGAGAACGAGGTGGTGATGCTCTCAGCACCCAGGAGGCGTGGGGCACCGGGCCGGCCACATCTCAGGCGCCCGTGTCATCGGTGCATCTTCACTGTGGCCCGGTGTGCTGCAGCTCTTGGACCCGTCTCCTGGGGCCCAGAGAGGAACAGGGGCTGTTTCTAGCAGGACCTTGGCTTGCCCGTTTCTTCTGTACCCAATGGGCGGCCTTGGTTTGAGCGTGGGTTCTGGAAGGCAGTGATCCTCTGGGAAGGAGGTCGTATAAACACGGCTGGCTTTGGGAGCACGTGACCCGTGTGGCCCCGTGTGGGTGTTCAGTGTCCCTTCCCCCCACCCCAGACTGTAATCTTGGACATTCTGGTCGCTGCTGTGTCTACGGGTCCCTGGTACATAGAGGGTGCTCAATAAATGTTTGCTAAGCACATAGGTGAGCGTTTGCTAAGCACACAGGTCCAACTGCGCCAAGCCTTTCTCGTTGGAATCCTGAGGGAAAGGGTATGTGAGGCACAGAGAGGTTAGGGAGTTTGCCCAGGGCCACACAGCTCTGCAGTGGCACCGCCTGGTCACCCCACTTTGGAGCCCCTCCTACCCCCTTGAAACTGTCCCCAAGGGCCAGGGATGTTGGGTGGGAGCTGCTGGCGGAAGTGCTGCCTCAGGTGGGCTGGGGCAGCGGCTACGGGCTACAGGTGAAGAGAGCTTTTCATCTGAGCCTCTTTTTTTCCCCCCCGCTTTTTGGTGATTTTGTACTCAGAGGTGTGAACCACCTGCTAGGAGTGTGAATGGGTGAGCTCCCAACAGGTGTCTGGAGGCCTTAATTACACAGCTTGCGTCTCCTGTCCGCACTGCACCTGTTGCGCCCGCTTTGTGGACGGGGTCCGTCGTCCCTGGCCTCTCTCCTCCTCATTTCCTCTCGCAGTGACCGTGACCGTGGAGGGAGGGCTGCGGAACAGTGCGCCTGCCAAGTTCCCCTGACCTCCTCCCTCACCCGGGCAAGGGATCACTGCCTGATGGGCTC